AAATTAGACTGAAAAATTTTTGGGTAAAAGTGATCAATACCCCAACTAAATTTACCATCGCCAGGTCTTATCAGATAGTTGAAATTGTTTCCTGCGATATTTACATCTGAAATAGAAAGCTCGTATACACCATCTTTAGGGCCATCATAACGATAAGGATTGTCAAAAACCAATGAGATATCTTGAATTTTGTCATAGCGAACTACTCTCACAGAATTGAAGGCTTTCACATTCATGTAAGTGCTGTTACTCCTCACAAAAATTTTGGAAAAATGTAATTCTTCTACTAAATTGAAAAAATTAAAATTTCCGATAGCTTCAATGTCTCTGCCATTCACTAAGTTCAGGTCAATCATGACAAAAACCTTCGGTTCGCAGCTAAGCAAATCATCAAACGCACGGTAAATTGGGGTCAATGTTTTCAGTTTCAAGCTATTGAGTTCTACCGAAACTCTTTTCGTTTGAGATGCATTTATAGTAGGGCAAATTAATTCAAACTTAGGAGAAAATTGAGTGGTTTTCAAGGCAAAAAGATCTAAATAATTATTGCGCTCTATATCAGGATTATACGAATTGGGCATCGGCTCTACGGAACAACTCAATAATGAACCGTTTTTGGGGTCACATACACATACTCTGCTACGTAATCTTGAGTAAGAAGAGCAGAATTCAAATACTTTTTCACTTTGTTTTGTAATTATGATCTGAATAAGCAAACTGAAAAAACTTAGTTTCATTTTTTCGTTGATATAACCAGGCAACTGAAAAAAGTGACCTCGCAAACTTAGTTGACTTACAACTGACTTGTGCTTCAAAACTTGATCAAGAGAACTTTTGAGGAACTGTGATCTAATCACAGAAAAACATTCATTACTCCGATACTGAAATCACTTTCAAGTTATGTCAAATTTTCTTCTTGTTGTGATAATTTTAATGTTTTCAAGTTTAAAATGCGCGAGAGAAAGTGGTCTTAAAGTGTAAATTTACGAAAAAACTTTTTAAAATTTTCCATACCGAAAAGTTATAAATTTCGTTTTTTGACTGTAAGGGGCGTTTGGTCCTTAAACTTTTAAGTTTTGCTGCATCAATTGAATCAAGCAAAACGTACTTCCAATTTCATTGTTTTCTCTTGAAGAGCACAATCTCAGAGAGAAAAAAAACCAAAGTAACAAAAACGAGACTGCTTGCATCAGTGCGAAACTCGGAAAATTCCAACCGCCTCTACAAAATTGATGAAGATATCAAAAATGAAAATTTCATTTTTTTTGAAAAACATAAAATGACGCGCAAAGTGAAAATAAAATGAAGTTTTTGCATATAGCAAACTACTATACAAGACATAAAAAAAGCATGCCCAATTTCAATTTAGAGCGATTTGTAGGACGGATTAAAGCTCTGTTTAAGCGCTAATTGCACAAACTTTCTCGCACAATAATTGTCGTTCGTTGGCCGAATTCCCAAATTTTAAACCCCCATAACTTTACAATAAATGATCACAAGATGAAATATCTTTTTAATTTTGAAGCCCATAAAAATAGTACCTTCTGAATGATGTTTTAAAAAATCCGTCAAAATTGGCTAGTTATAAAGTCGAAATTTGTCTGGAGAGAAAAACCTTTCCGAGCCGAACTATTCGGAATAATAATTGTTTAATTTTAGTTTTCTCTCCTGTATACTGAAGCGTTTTGCTCTATAAACCATCAAACCATGGAGAACTTTTTTTCATTCTACCGCTTTCTATCGACTTTCAACTATTTGCCACAACAACCGCAACGAGCTATTCGTCACAAAAAAAATTACGCTTTTTGAGGGTAAAACATCAACTCCTGTGAATACAAATAAAAAAAAAACTCATAAACAAAAACTACGCTATTTGATATAATCGAAACAATATAATTAGTATTGAAAAGGAAACTAAGCACGGCAATAATGAAGAGAGCAGAACCAAGAGGAGAAGACAGACAGAGAGAGAGAGAGAGAGAGAGGAAATTTTGGAGCAACGACAGCCTTCCCTTCTTAACCAATAAAAACCTCCATATCGCAAATTTTTACTTTGATTGAAAACAGAGCATAGCGCAATGTGTTACTCAATTCTCAATTCTGATTAGATTAGCGTTCCAGCCTAGAAACAAGTTAACATTCCTCCCTTTATATCGCCTCAGGGAGATTGATTTCAAAACGCAGACTAAGTGAATAATATCCAACGAAAATACAAAGATCAAATTAGGTAGTTTTTCTCATGCTTGTTTGATTCTCGAAAATCATTTTTAACTTTGAAAAAAAAATTGATGATTGTTAGAATCTTATAGCAGAGTTTGAAACACTCAAGAACATTTTTCGTCCGCAAACCTCTTACAAGCAATTTTAACGCCTATTGTGACATTTTCTCACTTTAACTTTAATTAGTTGATAGCTTTGAAAAATAAATTTTATAAGGTTAATTATTTCAAAAATCATGGTAAATTTTATCTTTTTTGGTCTAAAAAGACGTTCTTTTCCAAATAAAAACTTCCCAAAAGCTTCCTTGTCTATTGATAGTCAAGATTTTCAGTTTTGAACTTAAAAGAAAAACAAAACACTAGATTTTTTTTGTAGACCCAGGTTTATAATAACTATTTTTCTTGTAGGATGAAATGATCATTTAGCTATAAAAAAACACCACGACTTCCATTCACTACATTTTTGTTTTAAATTTTTTTTGCCTAGTAAGAAAAGGGTTAAATTTTTAGTCTAGTACCGAAAAAAAACAAAATCAGTATCCTAGATGGCAAATCCTCAAGAGCAGTTTACCTGTTTTATTTTTTTTTTCGAGGTGTTGTTATAAGCATTGGATATTGTGTTCTAGATTAAAAACAAATATGATAAAATTGTTTTGATTGATTGGTTTACACATAGCTAATTAAAAGAACAAAAAATTGACTTCAGCTTTGAATTGTCAAAAATCTTCATATGCCTTCAAATCTCTTTGAACTTCAAGAAGAAATTGTGATTGGTGCTTTTTTGACAAAATTAACCCAATTTGAGAAAATTGGATCACGAGGTGAAATTTAAAATGAGATAAAATTAGGTAACATTAAATTCCAATTTCGATACTAGAAATTGATCAAGTTTTTTGTGACTTTTTCTCTTTTGTTGTTTGCCTTCCTCAGCGGAGTTTGCTTTGCTTTTAACAAAGGAAATGTACTAAAATTATTTTCAAAAGTTAAAAAATCAAACCGCAAAAAATCAAAATTGACTTTAAGACGACGCAAAAGTCTGCACTGAATAGTCGCGCAATTTATTGTCTCTGTAGGTAACTGGAATCGAGAGACAAGTCTCCAAACATGGATCAAAGTGTATTTGAGTTACAGTTAAAAAGTTTCCAGTAGTTTCGGATCCAGTAAATGCTAGCGGATTTTGCAGAAGTAGATAGATTCCGCAATTTTCTGTGGATTTCGGTCCAAGTAAGAACAGTTGGCGGATTCCACATCCAGTTGCAGTTTCAGCGACAGCTTAAACTTAATAAACACAATTAATAATAGTTTACTACATTAAACACAATTAACATAATTTACTACATTATCCCCCCACACGCCATTTAAGGTACAAAAAGATAGATTTTGTTCCTTGTAACAAATCAATTATGGCAAATAAGCTTCGTTCAACCAATTTGGAACGTTTTATTAGAAGGATTAAATCTCCGCTTACGCGTTAATAGCGCGAATTATATCGCGCGTTAATTGTTCCAAATTAGCCAAAACGGCAATCTTTAAACCCCAATAACTTTACGAAAAATGATCACAGGTGAAATATCTTTTCAAATTTAAGCTCAGGACAACAATGGCTTTTGAATGATATAAAAAAACTCCGTCAAAAATGGCTTGTTAAAAAGTCGAAATTTGTCTGAAGAAAAAAAACTCACCCCGAGCACAAATATTCTGTTATTTTCGTATCGAAAGTCGGAACAATAATGTTATGCTACTACCAAATTAATAGTTCAAATGTTCAATATGAGGTTCTCACACACATGCATTAACGAACGGAAGAGACTCCACGCTTATCCGTACTTTGTGGAAATAGAGATATCAGTATGACGATTTTTCCACTTTTGTGGAATACTGGTATAGGCAGCGACCCGATGGTAGTATTACGTACCCTATTTCCTGAATTATGGAAATATTGTATGAAATTTGTGGAATTAAGGTAATTAAAAGGAAAATAGGTGACAACTTAGTACACAAAAAGCCCTGCGGGTAACACGACGGTGGTTTTATAAGAACGGATTAGCTGTCGCATGGCGTCACGTAATGTTGACTATAGTTCTTTTTGACACAGGTTTGATGGTATTTGATCATGAAAAATACAATAAGTGCGAAAGCTGGTAATTTGTAGTCGATAAGTATTTGTTCATTGATGATATATATTTTTTTATTTTTCGTTCTGGAAGGGAAAAAAGGACCAAAACGGCGATTTGCAGTAGATTTTAGAAGTTTTCAAAAATGATGTTTATAATTTTTAGAATTCATGATTCGTTTTGTTTTTCAGGGTTTTGTTCATTCTTTTTTTGACACCTTTCGTGGTCGTTCGAGGTTTGTTTTTTAATAATTGTTAATAATTATTAGTCTTTTGTCAATAATTGGTCGTGTTTTTGACTATGTAGCTGTTGAAAAAAAATAAGGAAAGCAGAAATATTTTTTCTGATTGATATCTTTCCTTTCAATATTTTTATCTTGTTACAATACATCAGCTCAAATGTTTTGCATTTTGAATTTCTGTCTTCTTAGTAACTTTAATCAAAAACGATTTATCAAAAACCTCGCTATTTTTTGTATTGAGAGATGCCATCTATCGTGTAGTTTTAAAAGTGAAGCTGTCGAGTGATGTTTATAAAAAGTAAAGCCGTTTTTATTTAGTTAAAGCTGCCAATTTTTACGGCAGAAAGTGCATTCACAATAGTAAATTAAGCCAGAGCTACTTTTAACTTTAAATTTTACATCATATGAAAACCAGATCAAGTGTTCTTATATGATGCAATAATCAAACATAAAAACAGCGCTTCGGTCTGCGTTTCAATTTTAATTTTCAATTCTGTTGCAAAAAGTTAAAGCTTGAACAAAAAAAACCGGACATCAGTTCTAAAAATTACCCAGAAATGGCTTCCCCCACTGCAAACCCTGATGAGGTTAAATTTGAGCTTGAAGAAAGAAATAATGGTATTACCAGCACTCAACTCAATCAAGTTGACAAGCCACTGGCAAAACCAGAAGTCAATGTCATCTACGAAGAGCCGGTGTATGTTCAGCAGACTAAACTGGATAATGATGCAACTGAAGTAAGCAAAGGCTCAATGTTATGCTGGAAAGTTGTCGTGGTTGTTTTGTCTATAGCTGTCGTTGTGCTGACAGTAAGTGAAATCTTTTCGAATCACTATTCCTAAATTGATTATGTGTTTCCAGAGTTTTTTTGATCAGATTTGTTCATACTCATCATATTCAATTGTTCCCTTGATATTCTTTTTTTCAAATTCTATTGTTTTTCAACATGTTGAAACATATCTTTTTTTCGACTGATCCATTGACAAGCAAAAATAGATAAAAAATTACAAATGCTGTAATTTATAGTTTTTTTGTTTATCTTCGATCAGAAATATCTCGTACGGTTTTGCAAAAAAATTAAACCAACCCAACGTCAGCATGGCCATCATGGCCATCATGGTGAGTTTGATTGAAATATTTTGCAAAACTGTTCCTTAAATGATGTGCAGTTCTTTGTGGTTTTTCCAGGCGTACGGACGTGTGTAACTATAGCTTGCTACTGCAACACAGTTGCTTTGTCTGAAAATACGAGAAATTTCTGCTACTCACCTCAGTTTCATCTAAGAAATAAGTATAATAATAACTTCCTTTTACATTATAACATGATTTACATGATTTAGCTAGTTAGAAAACCCGTTAAGCACACTAAAAAAACGGGTTGAACAGTCATTTAGATATGCTTGTCTTAGATTTTTGTTTTCGATGTTTATATTGGAGTACTAAGTTTGCTCTGATATAGCAGAAAACAATTTTTTTTTCGAAAAAAAGGTACATATAAAAGAAGTCATTCTTAACTAGTTTTGATAAGTTTCTTTTTCACTGTCACATTTTTTGTTTTCAAATTTTACTTGTGGATTTTTTTCGAAACAAATTTTTTCTGTATATGTAATCTGCGGGAGGACCAACAACCTGTTGATTGTTAGATTTACTCAAAATGAGCATCAATAGAACCCCAAATTATCATGATTGTCTTTGGATGCGTCTTTAGAATAAGGATGTTTTTTACAGGGAGGGGGTTTTACTCTCATGTATTAGGATAGACAATAAATTTCCGAGACAACACCTTACGTATTAAGAAAAAAAAAACAGATTTACCATGTACTAAAATAGACTTCATATGAATTTACTGCGTTGTTTACGCTTTTACGAGTTTTAGAAGTTTAGTATGTATTCAATCTCAAAATGGAGGTTAGCTCATTGTTTTTACGCGGTAAAAAATTAGCATCAAAGTTTTGAACGAGCAATTTACAAAACTGTACCATAATTGATGTGCAGTTTTTATGGTTTTTCTAAGAGTACGGACAAATGTAACGATGGCTTACTGCTGTAACACAGTTGCGTTGTCTTAAAATACCAAACTTTTCTGCTACTCAACTCAGATTCAACTAAGAAATAAGTGTTCAATTATTACGTCCTTTCAAATGATTCACCTATTTGGTTTATTACGGTGTAATACAATTTTGTTCCAGGTAATTAGAAAACCCGTTAAGCATACTAAAAAAAGGTTGAACAGTCATTCAGATATTCTTGTCTTAGGTTTTTGTTTTCGATGTTTATATTGGAGTACTAAGTTTGCTCTGATATAGCAGAAAACCATTTTTTATTTCGAAAAAAAGGTACATATAAAAGAAGTCATTCTTATCTAGTTTTGATAAGTTTCTTTTTCACTGTCACATTTTTTGTTTTCAAATTTTATTTGTGGATTTTTTTCGAAGCAAATCTGTTCCACTGAAAACTAGTGACAAAATTTGTAAAATTGGCGGAAAATTTTCTTTCGATATTTCTCACGTTAAAAAAAATTATGATTGTACGCTGCATTGGCTGATAAATTTTTAGGTTATATAGGATTGATACGTGTCTAAGTGTAATTTTTTAGCTTTTTTATTAAGGTTGTTTTTTATCCTGAAAACGATTTGAATTTTAATTGAGTGCTGTTTATAACAAATTACATATTCTCTGAGTTTAGAGTAACCTCAACAATTTTTCTATGCGTAGTTTCAGAACTAATGTCTTGTTTTCATCGTCCAAGCAGTCTTACTTTGCGTCAGAATGAATACTCGAAATGGATAATCACACCTAATTTTTTTCTTTTAATTGTACTTCATGTGAAAATAAATTCATGCTTTTTCATATAATTCAATAAAAAACATTAGAAACGCGTTTTTGATTTTCAAGTTTTCATGTTCATTCCATGATAAATTAAATAAAGCTAGATCAACAACGCTATGGAAAAAAAACATCATAAATCAAGGATTCCTATTTATAAACAATTGAACTGTAATGTAAATCTGCTGGAGGATCAACAACTTGTTGATTGTTAGATTTACTCAAAATGAGCATCATTAGAACCCAAAATTGTCATGATTGCCTTTGGATGTGTCTTTAGAAATGAGGATGTTTTTTACAGGGAGGGGGGTTTACTCTCATGTATTAGGATTGACAAAAAGTTTCCGAGACATCACCTTACGTATTAGGAAAAGAACAGATTTACCATGTAATAAAATAGACTTCATATCAATTTACTGCATCGTTTACGCTTTTATTACGTATTCTCCTACAATTTTAGAAGTTTGGTATGTATTCCATGTCAAAATAGAGGTTAACTCACTCTTTTTTCGAGGTAAGAAATTAGCATCAAAGTATTGAACGAGCAAGTTTAAGTTTGGTCGATCATGGTAAGTTTGATTGAAATATTTTGCAAAACTGTTCCTTAAATGATGTGCAGTTCTTTGTGGTTTTTCCAGGCGTAAGGACGTGTGTAACTATAGCTTGCTACTGCAACACAGTTGCTTTGTCTGAAAATACGAAAAATTTCTGCTACTCACCTCAGATTCATCTAAGAAATAAGTATAATAATAACTTCCTTTTACATTATATCATGGTTTACATGATTTAGGTAAATAGAAAACCCGTTAAGCATACTAAAAAAAGTTGAACAGTCATTCAGATATGCTCGTCTTAGATTTTTGTTTTCGATGCTTATATTGGAGTTCTAAGTTTGCTCTGATATACCAGAAAACCATTTTTCATTTTGAAAAAAAAGGTACACATAAAAGAAGTCATTCTTATCTAGTTTTGATAATTTTCTCTTCCATTTTTATATTTTTTTTGTTTCAAATTTCACATGTGGATTTTTTTCGATACAAATATGTTCCACTGAAACCTAGTGACTAAATTTGAAAAATGGCAGAAATTTTTCTTTCGATTTTTCTCACATTTAAAAAACTTATGATAGTACACTGCATTAGCTGATACGTTTTTGGCTTATATAGGATTGATAGGTGTCCAATTGTAATTTTTAAGATTTTTGTAAAAAAGTTGTTTTTTATCCTGAAAACGATTTGAATTTTGATTGAGTGCGGTTAATAACAAACTTTATACTCTATGAGTTTAGAGTAACCTCAACAATTTTTCTATGCGTAGTTTTAGAACTAATGTCTTGTTTTTATCGTCCAAGCAGTCATATTTGCGTCAGAATGAATACTCGAAATGGATAATCACATCTAACTTTTTTCTTTTAATTGTTCTTCAGAGAAACGCTTTTTTGATTTTCAAGTTTTCACGTTCATTACATGATAACTCAAATAAAGCTAGATCAACAACGCAATGGAAAAAAAACATCATAAAGCAAGGATTCCTATTTATAAACAATTGAACAATCTTATGGAGGACCAACAACCTGTTGATTGTTAGATTTACTCAAAATGAGCATCATTAGAACCCAAAATTTTCATGATTGCCTTTGGATTTGTCTTTAGAATAAGGATGTTTTTTACAGGGAGGGGGTTTACTCTCATGTATTAGGATTGACAAAAAGTTTCCGAGACATCACCTTACGTATTAGGAAAAGAACAGATTTACCATGTAATAAAATAGACTTCATATCAATTTACTGCATCGTTTACGCTTTTATTACGTATTCTCCTACAATTTTAGAAGTTTGGTATGTATTCCATGTCAAAATAGAGGTTAACTCATTCTTTTTTCGAGGTAAGAAATTAGCATCAAAGTATTGAACGAGCAGTTTACAAAACTGTTCCATAGTTGATGTGCAGTTCTGTGTGGTTTTTCCAAGAGTACGGACGCATCTAACTATCAAAAATTATGATTTTACGCTGCATTAGCTGATATATTATTGGCTCATATAGGATTGATGCGTTCTAATGGTAATTGTTTTTTTTTTATAAAGTTGTTTCTATCCTTAAAAATTTATATGAATTCGAATTGAGTGCTGTTATTTACAAGTTATATGCTCCTTGAGTTTATAGTAACCTCAACAATTTTTCTATGCGTAGTTTTTGAATTATTATCTTGTTTTTTTTTGCGTCATATTTTGCGTCAGTATGAATACTCGAATTGGATAATCACACCATTTTTTTTTAAATTGTACTTCATGGTTTTTCATATGATGCAATGAAAAAAAAACATTAGAAACGCTCTTTTTTATTTTCAAATTTTTAAGTTAAGTTCATTTCATGGCAGCTCGATTGAAGACAGATCAACAAGGTATGGGAAGCAAAACATCTTAAATCAAGGATTTCAGTTTACAGATAATGGAACTCAAAGCAAATATATGTAATCTGCGGGAAGACCAACAATCTGTTGATTTTTAGATTCACTCAAAATGAGCATCATAAGAATTCAAAATTGTCATGATTGCCTTTGGATGCGTCTTTAGAAATGAGGATAATTTTTTGGGGGGAGGAGTGTTTACCCTCATTTATAAGGATAGAAAATAAACATACGGGTAGCACCCTACGTATTAAGAAAGTGAACAGATTTACCATGTATCAAAATAAATTTCACAGTTTCAGTCGGTGAGTGGTAAGTTTCAAAAAACTTTGGGCGCCCAGTGTTTAAAACAAATGGCGCCCATTTTCGCCGATACGGCAGTGTTTAAGATTCTAAACTTTTTCTGGATCAAGATTTTGAGCGGTCAACCCACGCACAACGCTTAAGAAAATCATTTTTTTGAAAAAAAAATGTTTACCGAGAGTGTATCAATTTATTGCATCGTTTACGCTTTTACTACGTATTCTCGTACGTTTTTAGAAGTTTAGTATGTATTCCATCTCAAAGTGGAAATTAA